ATTTAAGAAAGGACTTGTGTCGCTAAAGTTTTGTCGGAACGAACTTACGGAAAATTAATTAACGAACGGAGACGTAACAACTTTCTTTACTTTACTGCACAATGTAGATTTTGGAAGAAATAAGTATTCCCTATGATGCAACATCAGTAATGTGGCGGGTTTCATTGTTCCCACAATAAATATATAGAAATAATAAGGTGGTTATGAGACCTGCAACAAAAAGAAGTATAATTAACAACTCACGTAAGCACAAAAAGTCTGTTAACTTTTAACAAAAACCTTGAAAGATGTATCACCTTCGTACTGGCTATGGTCTATAATGATTACATCATAGGCTTATGCAATCTACGTTAATATGTGTAGCAGTAGGAGTTTCGTTCAAGGCAAAAATCTTCTCGGCAGATGTGCAAGGTAATAACTGTTGTGCAGAAAGATGATTAGAGTTTCTGAAGAGAGATCTTATATGTCTTTATGTCAATTTGTATGTACTTTCCAATCATTATTTATATGTACATAAATGGACAGTTAGAATAATTTACACCTAACAGATTCATGTACATGTAAAAAGGATAACTTTCAGCATCAGTAGCTAATTCTGATTGGATTGAGGATATGAGGTTGAAACAATTTTACAAAACTTCCAATTGGAATTTTAGACTGAAAAATCTGCATTTCAAAACTTATAAACCAAATACAAAAATAAATACATTTAGGTTTGAACTGTCCATACTATTGTGGCCACAAGTTGGAAATAAAAGTTCTCGTTTATTCTTATCCTTAGATAATAACTAAATGTGCAAAGGTCCTAATAAAAAGCTTAGAACTCCAATCCTTTCAGAACTACAAAGTAGATAACATCATCATCATCCACAATTGGGTAATTACCATATTAATATTCAAATAATTAATAATCCAGAAATATAAAAATAACTTACCATGGCTAATCAAAACAGGACTTTTATTACAATTTTCTGAAAATTTTTTAGGACAAACCCCATTTTCAAAAGCTGGTTTCTTATCAACACTGTGGTTTGTACTCGTAACTGTTATCTGAGTGATTGTATTATGAGGAATTGTACTTATTGTTTTTTCAGGTGAATTACTTTTTATCATACTATTGGAACTTAATCCTTCCAAGGCAAAACTATCATCAAAGTCAAGGTCAAGACTTAGAAAGTCAAGCTCTTCATGAGAAAGCTGATTTGATGTTGAATCTTCTATTGAAGTTTCCATTCTCATGGAGCAGGAATTTGTTTGTGGAATGTTAGTGAATGTTGTATTAACATTCTCAAATACCGATATTGGATGGTTAGGTTCAGACTTATGTTTCTGATCACAAACTGGAAAAGATTCTGGGGAATTTCTGCTTTCAATCAAAAGTTTAGAATATATATTTTTAGAAAAAATTCTATCACAAGTTCTGTTATCCTTTCCCTTCTGGACAGTAAATGGTATTTGTTGGCCATCCCCTTCTGATCCAAGCCTTTGTTGGAAAGAAAATGTATGTTTTTCAGTGCCTTTTATAGTTAAAGAAGGCATAGAAGTATGAGAATTTAACTGCTGTCCATCAATCGATTCTCCTCTGTCACTTGAATTATGATGTTTCTTTAACAACCCTGGACTTGTTTCCATTGAGGAGACTTTAAAAATATCTTGAAAAAAATCCTAAAAAAAAGAATATATTCATCTAACATTAAACAAGTGAAAAATAAAAACAATACATTTATCAACATTAATTCAAAACTGTATAAAGAATGACAATAAAATTATCAACATTCATTCAAAACATAATAAAGAAAGACAATATATATCTAAACTTAAACCAGCATAAAGTAAAAAAGACGATAAACAATAACTTAAACCAGTAAAAAAAATTCAATACATGTATGAAACATTAATTTCAACCAGTATAAAGTATATTTTCTAGACACTCCAAATTTTCCACTTACTCCAAGTTCAATAACATATATAGTTTTATCTAAATGAAAAACATAAAAACATTTTTGTTTTTACATTTATTTGATGCTCAAAAATGTACAAGTTTTCAGTCAACAAAAAACATTCAAAAACTATTTCTTAAACTATAAAAACAAAATATTTAAAGAATAACATAAAACATAACAATCCTGTGGTTCATTGATTTTTAAGTCTTGATATTTAATCATCCTCAATATAGGAACTGTCATTACATATAGTTATAATGAGCAAACCAGTAAGTTTTTATCATGTTAAACAAAGAAATAGTCATACATTAAGCAACGAATAAAGATTGTACTGACACATTTATTTTAAATGACATTTTAAAAAATAGTCATCAGTAGAATGGTTGACCCTCCCCTCCCCCAACCATTATTGTTTTGTCTGTCTTAATTTTGGTGTTTGTGCGAGTTTTGTGGTATGTTGTTTTATAGCAAAGCCATACTGAGCTATCTGCTGTGTCCACCGAGGGGAATCGAACTCTTGATTTTAGGGTTATAAATCCCTAGATTTACCACTGTCCCATCAGGGGAAGAATTTTGTGGTACCAGATATTTTGTAAATGATTACCTTGACCTTTTAACCCAAGATCTTTTTTACTTCCCCAAAGGAAGTGAGCTGTAGAAGTGTAATGAAAAATATGCTAGAACTCTAAATTAGGTATCATATGGAAAGCAGCTGTGAACAATGAACAAACAATGTTATTGCTATTTGCCTCCAAGCCTTTATGAATGAAAGGGATAAAAATCTATAATTCTATGTGAAGCATATTCTAAATGTATCTTAAGATTTTCTAAACTTTAGTAATCATTAACAGATAATTTTACTGATTTTGCTGTAATCTAAACTGCACAATGTCCTCTCTGGCAATTATGTGTAAAGCTTTAATATCAATAATAATTATAGATATTGTAATCTTTGTTATAATCTAAATTGGGAATGCATATTTCATTTTCACTATTTCTTTCTCTATTGAAAATCACACTCAGTGATAAATGTACTTCATTTTGCATAAGTCTAGAAGTTTTGCATTGTTACATTCAAAAGTATTTAACAAAGACAGTATTATCAACACCACACCAGTGTACAATATATTATACAAAATAAAACATATGGAGATATATACCACAATTTTATATTACATGACACTGACAGGCATACCCAAGTTGGCAAGCAAATCTTTTAATGTTGAATTTAAGCAATTTGTTAAACCATTAAATCCAAGTTCTAACTTCTACTTTTAAGTTTTAAAGACAAAACTTTGCAGTGAGAGATTGTGACGAAATGTCTCATTAACTTAACTGTGTTAATTTTAGTTACCAATACCATAGTGCTATAAATAATAAAATATCCATGCAGTAAGACCAGTAACTAAGTTGAGTAAGCTAATGGCATGTGTGCATCACTTTAAAAATTGTTTACAGTTTATTCTTAACTTTCTTTTTACCCTTAGCATTTTCATTTCCACGTCAGATTTATTCATTTCAATTTAATTATATTTTTCAGTATTTGAATTGCTCAATTGGGCAGTAGTTTGGTCTTAGGTTCCCAAAATCAAAATATTTATTTTATTTTACAAAAAATGTTTGTTTTCGTCATAAGCTGTATAATTAATTATTAATATAACAATTAACATAAAGTAATAAGCATCAAATGTAATTTTTTAAAACAGTGTGCCATTATTTATTTATTACAATATATTATTGAATATATAATTTACATATTAGTAATAGTACTATTACTAGGTTATATTATGATTAAATTTGTCAACACATTTATGCTTTGTTTAAATGTATTTTACCTCATCTTCTAAATCAAACTCTTTATCAGAATCTACTTTAAACATTTATTTTGTTACAAATACAATCGATACTTTAAATTTTTATTTTTAACATTTAATACAGACAGCTGCTAACACTAACTCAGTAACTGATGTTGATAATACACACGCTTGTCAAAATTCTACTTAAATTTTAGCGCCACAGTATAAAACGACCTCAAATTCATTAGGAACACTTTCACCATTTTGTTAAATATAAGTTATATTTTTAGTAAATTTATATCATAAAATATTTTAGTGAAAAGTGTTGAAGGGAAGTAAAATAAAAAAGTAATTACAATTAATAATAGTTTACCTTAATAAAGCATCTGAAAGAAAAACTGTAGGTTTAATGGCTTAATACTCGAATACCTGTATTTAATATATATGCATATCTTTAGAAAATTATCTCTTCCACAAAATGTATAAATATGTATATTATAGTAGTTTTTCTCTCTGTATATTTGGGTTCAGATTCTATCATGTAACTGATAATGGTTTTCGAATATATTGTTATTTAGATTTCAGCTGTTTTTTCAATATATTACTGAGCAAGTGGGAGGTTGGGACATTGGACTCGCAATCTGCGAGTCGCAGAAGCGAATCCCCTCCCCGAACATGCTCGTCCTTTCAGCCGTGGGAGCGTTATAAAGTGGCTGTCAATTCCACTATTCGTTGGTAAATAGTAGCCCAAGAATTGGCGGTGGGTGGTGTTAATTAGTTGCTTTCCGTCTAGTTTATCACTCCCAAATTAGGGACGGCTAATGCAGACTACCCTCGAGTAGCTTTGCGCGAGATTAAAAAAACAACCAAGCTGGGGAAATGACACCTCTGATCATATTGTTGTAAAGTTATTGTTTCGTTGGCGAGTTGTTGTTTTTAATTATCTGCAGGAAAAGTCTACATAACGTTAACTAATCGAGTCGAAGCCTGCGGTCAAATATGCTCGCTCTTTCAGACATGGGGTGTTGTAACGTGATGGTCAATTCAAATGTTCCTTAGTAAAACGTAGCCTAAAAATTGGTGATGGTTACTGCTAGCTGGTTGCTTTCCCTGTGGTCAGTAGTTCAAAATTAACGATGTCGGCATATAGTCTTAGTAGCTTTGACAGGAAACTTGTTTTTTAAAAGCAAAATGACATTGGGCTATCTGCTATGTCAACCGCAGAGAATAGAACCCAGGATTTTAGCGTCGTAAATCCGTAAACGTACTGTTGTCCCATTGAAAAAATTGGCAGGAAATAAGCAGATTACGAAATTAGTAAAATAATAATATAATCAGCTAAACTGCAAGGACAGTCACATATTTAGAGAGCAATGATAAACTCATATTACATTTCTTATTGACAGACAATGCATGCCAGTCTTTAATGGAGAATACACCACATTTACTTTGAGGAATAAGGCATTTTTTGTTTTGTTTTTAATTATGTGAAGTTGTTGTTCTTAGGACAAAAACTACACAATGGACTATCTGCACTCTATTCACTGGTGGTAATTGAACCCTAGATTTTAGTGTTGTAAGTCCATAAACTTACTGCTGATCCACCGAAGTACTTAATGTATTAATCTAAATGTTTATTTTCGCCCGAAAAGAACTTTAACGTTTTAAGTACAATGAAAAAAATATCATGTAGCAACATTTTCTTGCTGGTCACTTCAATTATTTTTGATTGCATTTCTTCTTCGCTCTCTCTATTATTTGTCATTATTGTTAATATCATTTTGTACGCCTAATGAGCTCACAATTTTCCCTCTAAAATTGATGACGGAAATGACGTTACTTTTGCTCTTAAAGCTAAGAAGATTGATGACATGGCGACCGAAGTAATTTAACCAAAGGTGCTTCTCTTCTGCTCTTGAATATGTGTGAGAGATAGGTGGGTGTTGTAATAGTTCGATGTAGAATTAGAACTTATAATTTTATTTTAGATATAACGTATTTTATATATGTTATTGTTTAAAACTTAAAAAATATTCAACAAGTTTCATCTAGGACTGATTAAAAGTAAAACTTTTATTTTAAATTTAAATTAAAGTTGTATTTAAATTATTTATAATACTAATAGTAGTAGTACTAGTAAAGGAGTTCATAGAAGAACTAGTACTAGAACTTAAGTTGTCGTGTGTGCTTATAAGTCACCAGTAACTAAGTACAGCTCTATATGTTTATTATTACTATTAGTATTGTTAAAGGACTTCTTGGAGAGTTTTAATGTGTCCTAAAGGTATAAAAAATACAAGTCACCAGTAACTTGGTAAGAGGTGTACAGTTCTATATGTATACTATTAGTTGTAGTAGTGATATCAGATATTCACATTTTGTAATGTTTTCTGTGCTACTCTAGTTCTTTGGTAGTTGATGTTAAGTGACGTTTCTATAGCAACAAATAATTGTATTAATAATAAACAGTGAAAAAAAAAAAAGATGCTCATAAACAATTTAGTTGAGCTAAATGTACAAGATCTGACCAAAGGTTAACATTTTACTTACACTGTTATATATATAGTCTTGAACTGCTGTCCTAAAAATGTGTGGTTATGTATTTGTTACATCTAAGGATTGTTTCTGTGATACTTGGTGCTAATAAGCCATGTAATAAACAATTAAACATTCTTTGTTAGATGGTGAAATAAGTGTGTTATATAGATATGTGGAAAAAATGTCAAGTTCTGCTGGAATATCTAAAACTGTTATAAGAAATAAAAGTATTTATTTTACATCAGAAAATTACAGTTATTTTAGGGAAGGCTAAGTAAGTGCTATTATGCCAGAACTGGTACTTTAATGAACTGATCCTAATCAGATTCCAGATTGAGTCTTAATTTGATTCTAAAAGCTGTGTTAAGATTAAGTAAGTTTAAGTGGATTTTTTAAGTAGAGTGGTATTAGATCTATTTGGTGTGTTTCAAAAATAAGCTAATTCTGTAGATAAGAACTAAAAAGTAACTATTAAGGTAAATAGAGCTAACTGTGTATATGAAATGACTAGGCATGTAACATGTCATAAATCAATATGCAAGAAAACTAAAATGATTGCTCTTAACAATATTTTTGGCCTTATTCCAATTAGTATTTCATGAATGCAAAATAGTCTTGGTAAATGTAAAAATGAATAATGAATCAATAGTGTTCAAAATTATTTTAAATGACATTAACAATGATGTTAATGAAACTAACTCTTAAAGAACAATGGAGCATTATTTACAGAACATAACATATAGTTGTGTGTTCTTTCAATGATTCTCAGGTTGGAGTGATTATAGCAAGGATGTGACAGTTAGTCGGCTAGCTTCCATGAGATATACGGATCATGATACTTCTGAGTCAGGATTTTGAGTATCTTCATATTCATATTTATCACATAAATACCTATATATATTATGAAATCTGCAGCTAAATACATTATTTTATTTTAGCTTAGGTACAGCTTTGTCATAAAATTTTAAATGCACTCATCAGAGAAATACAACTGGCCCTGATATGGCTAGCTTTTTCACACTTCATTCTGGAATTATGGCAAGTACAGGTTTTTAGTTATATACAAGCGTGTCCAGTTTTGGCTTAAAAAATATGATCACCTTACATTAAAGCTGAAAAATGTACAATTACATCTCGTCATAGTTCATTCTGCTTTAGTATACATCACTTGTTTGTTTTACTTTGAAAATATTATAAACATTTGTTTACCTCTGATATAAGTACTTTGTCATATTCATCTGCTTTGACTTTCACTAAAACTTGTATGTATGACACGTATATCAGAACATAACTAATTTCTATCAAACAACATAGCTTGCATACCATATTCCACACTGATAACTTTAAAAGTCCAACTAATAGGCCTAACTACCCAGATCCTTCTTTTGACAAGTATGCCTATCTACCCAGATCCTTGCCTGACTAGTACTAGTAAGCCTATCTACCCTCATCCTTCCTTGACTAGTAGGCCTAACTACCCAGATCCTTCCTTGACTAGTAAGCTTAACTACCCTTTTTGAAACTAGTTGTCAGAGAGAAAGTTGGGATTTAATTATCTATTCTCAGCATAATTTAAAAATTTTTCTTGCTTTATTAAGTTTAAAGATATTTTATAGGGCTTCTATTTTGTTGTTGTTGAGGGTATGCCCTTTTACTGTTGTGTATTTTGACTTTTAGAAAGCTTTTGATAAAAGTGCTACACCAGGAATTTATTAGGACATTGGATGCATACGAAACTGATGGAAAGGTAGAGAAATGTTAGCAAAATCATTGGCTTATTGGTATAAACTAGAAACAAATATCGTGTAAGGAGGAATTATTATGATTGGCTATATGTGACTAACGAGGTTCCTCAGGTGTTTGTCTTGTACATAAGCTTGAAAATGATTGGCTCCATTCAGAGTACTTTAACAGTGGAAAATAAGTCCATTAATTTTTAATTATTTAATCAATTTCATGTAGCAGAATTCTTACCTGATAATTTTTGTTTGAATTTACTTGCCATATATAACAAAAATCAATGTAATAAAAGGCAACACTTGTATACACCAAATCTACAAACCATGCCATGAAAGTTAAATTAAGAGGATCACAAGGTAAAATATCGTGTGCAATATGACAAGTTTCAGTGATTTTGAGATAAAAGACATGAACTATTTTTTAATCTATTATTTCACTCATTTACCGATTCTTAGCCAAGCACTTGTGTGTATGTATATATCGAAATACCGTTATCGGTTCTGGTTGCCAACTTATTGTCATAACGGATACTTTATTTAATTTAAATGTTTTGACATAATACTACAGTTAATGTTGTCCTTTCAGAATAATTTATATTGTATCAGAAACACTTTGAAAAAAGAAACGAGAAAAAGCTTGAATATGTTAATTAGTATTGTAGCATAAGTTGTGATACTTGTTGGTCAGCAGAAAACGTGACAGAATCTATATTTATCACATATTAATGTAGACAGTATTAATAACTTTTGGTATGTCTACTATTATTACCTACACCACCTAATGTGGGTGAAGGTTACACAGGGGGGAAAACATGTGTTTTTCAGCAAGATTCTCGATAATGGCTGAATGGATTTGGACAAAAGTTGGTGTACATTTGAACTATGACCCAACTTAGAAGTGCTTAGTTTTTGGAGGGTCAAAATCAAAGGTCAAGATCACAAAAATAAAAAAAAATCCTATTCTGTTAACATGAGGACATTTTTGCTCTATAACTCAGTCAAAAATGATCGTAATTTGATAAAACATGTTGGATATATGTAGAATATTATTCATAATTTTAGTGCTACAAATGGTCCATGTTCGTTGATAACAACAGACATATTTTTGTATTTGTTTTGAGGACCGAATATGATCAATGCTAAGTGGCAGAGGTATGCGCTCACTGAGTGCCCCTCTAGTTATATATTTGTTTTTGTTAAAGTGATACCCATTTTATATTCACATGTAAAATATGCAGTAATGACTTGTACGTTGTATTCTGTTATTCTTGACCTTGTATAAATATATTTAAGTAACAGTTACCATAAAATGTGAAGATACAGTGTTAGATACTAAACTGGATGTGATAATTATCAGAGTATTTTAATGCTACAAAATTTCATTACAAAGTTTACTTTAAGTTTGGTGTAATACATTTATTTTCCAGTTTGTAACAATCATTTTCCATCATAGTAAAGTATTTTCTAAGATGTGGACAGCGTTGTTTAAATCTCAAGTTCACCAAAGTGTAGCATATAGTGACTTTGGTGTGGATCTTTAAGTTGGTCTGAGTGTTTTCAGCGTAACTCAGTAAAATACTTGTTTTGAAGTATAAGCCATGTTTATATAAATAAAAATTCTTTTCTCATAGATGTATTAATGCAATAATTGTGTTGTAATGAAATAATATTAGAAATCTCTTCTTCTTCAATATGGAATTTGAAAAGAATTTAGAAGCCTAGTGAAAATTATCATACGTTAAGTAAGTAATAGGATGGTTTGTAAATGTGATTTTTACTTCTTGAACAGAAATAGCAAGATATTACAGATGAAGTGGAAGGAATGAATGTTTTATATACACTTAGTTCAGAATTATAATTGTTTTTCATAATGTTGAATAAACTTGTCATGACTTTATTGGTCTTGAAAGTTTATTAATGTTTAGTTTTCTTTTTAACCAGCTGAAAAATACTGCATATGATGACCGAAGCAAGTAAACTGTGAGATGATAGAAGTAGTTAAATCACATTACAAGTAGATCCTTGTTTAGTTGAAGTGTCGTAATCAGATTACAGTTATATCTTGTGTTTGAGTACAGGAGAGGTGTGTTTAGTTGAAGTGTTGTAATCAGACTACAGATATAACTTGTGTTTGGGTACAGGAGAGGTGTGTTTAGTTGAAGTGTTGTAAACAGATTACAGTTATATCTTGTGTTTGGGTATAGGAGAGGTGTGTTTAGTTGAAGTGTCGTAATCAGATTACAGTTATATCTTGTGTTTGGGTACAGGAGAGGTGTGTTTAGTTGAAGTGTTGTAATCAGATTACAGTTATATCTTGTGTTTGGGTATAGGAGAGGTGTGTTTAGTTGAAGTGTTGTAATCAGACTACAGTTATATCTTGTGTTTGGGTACAGGAGAGGTGTGTTTAGTTGAAGTGTTGTAATCAGATTACAGTTATATCTTGTGTTTGGGTATAGGAGAGGTGTGTTTAGTTGAAGTGTTGTAATAATTTTTTTGGAAGCCTTATTTGCTGTTTCATTTAGGAGTTATTGTAGTACAAAATAAGGCTATTGATCTCTGTAAATATTGATATTGGCTTGTGACTTATGTGTAAAGAAATACTAATTCATTAACCATGCTTCGAGGGAAGATTCGTTTTCATACATGTAAGGTAGTTTTAGTAACTTCTTTTGTGTGGTTTCTGTTGGGATTGTGTTTGTTGATGTACTACACTGAATGTATTGGTACTTCATGTGAAATTGGCAATGAAGTTCGAGGAATATCACATGGTGAAGAACATGCACCATTTGTCAAATCATCTAATTCACCTGCTGGAGAGTTCAAAAGCTGGACTCAACGTGGTAAGAATATTTTCTTTTCTGATGTTCAACAGAAGAATCTTTTCACATAGTTTTTACTCTATAGGACTTTTTTATTATTGTGATTGAAAACTATTGTACAGTAATATAATTCTTACATACAGTAATATAATTCTTACTGGTGAAATTAAAACAGATAACATTTATAAGTTGTAGGATTGAAAAAAAACACTAGGTAAGTGTTAGATAGGAAAGAAACAATATAGTCACTTGTATAAAAATATTAAGATGTATTTAACAGAGAGTTGAGTTAATTTTGTTAAAACAATATTGAATAATCAAATGAAGTCATGTGATAGCCACAGCCAATATAAAGTTTCAGTGAAACAGAATGAATCGGGACTACATTTTGATGTGATATTTTGTAGGTAGTGTGATGCCACCAAACATTTATAACTTTTGAGAAGAGTATATAACAGCCCTTTACAAAACAAAAGATTCATACATTCAGATTATAAAAGTGTATTCAGATTGGGGGATTTAGACTTTCTAAAAAGGGAATATCCCTTGTGCTTATTGACACTGGCAAACAAAAAAAATAATGAATCAACTTGGACAGAACTATCTAGAAAGAGACCTGCAACAAGTAACACCTCAACTGAAGTAAGCAAACTACAGTGTCATGTTATAGATGAGAATTGAAGAACACAAAGGTTAATGAAAAAAGCCATCCACATTTACCAGGCAACAGTACATAACATAATTAAGAAATATCTCCATATTCATACATCCAGTTCAACTATTGCATGCCTAAAGCAGCTGGAGAATGAATCATATAGGTATTCATACTACTCCATCTGAAGAACACCTGTCAAATTGCTGGACTCAGTGCCTATGGATTTCTTTGTGATCATTGGACTGTTAAAGGGGTTTTGAAAATCATAGTCCTGATACACTGGATGGTGGATTATGGAATGTAGTCCATGAGTAGTGGTGTGCTTTGGACATGACAGCCTTACAAGGAAGCCTTTTACAATGGAAACTGAGATGCATAATCTTCAGATAGAGCTTGACTGGATGTGGTGATATCAACTGTAATGACATGGTGAAGGTACAAAATTGTCGTAGTATAAACTTAATCTTTGTATGTATGTGTGTGTTTATTTATATATATATATATATATATATGTATTTTATGTTTATTAGAACAAAATTAATCACATGTAATATGCCAGTTTTGGTTATGGAAAGAATTTTCAGTACTAGAACTTATTAGTGTTTGTGTTGAGAACTCCGAGTTAAAACTTTATTATTTGTTGCTTCTCAGTTGTACACAAAAATCCAGCAGACTGGCCAGGAGAAAATGGAAAAGGAGTGGTCATACCTAAAGAAGAAGAAAGTTTAAAAAAGGAAAAATTTAAACTCAACCAATTTAACTTGCTTGCTAGTGACAAAATTGCTCTCAATAGGTCACTACCTGATTTTAGAATGGAAAAGTAAGATAAATTTTATGTCTAAATCACTTAAAAATAAATTTTTATTTAATGAAAGTTGCTAGAGATTGAAGCTAAATTTAATTTCAAAGCATATAGTGTTAAGTAGTTAGAAGGAATACTTTATCAACCACCTATGTAACAGAACTATTATCTTAAAACAGAGAGACAAATCATATACCCTCTGGTGTTTGGTACAGTCACAGTAAACAAAACTGTTAGTCAGGTTTTCTTAAACTAAAGTTATTAAATAGTTCTATCAGATAATGTTATTTAGGATATTTTTAAATCAACACTGTATCTAATAAGTCATATATGTGGTAGAATCTATATACTACTAAAACTCTGAGATTGTTTGTTTGTAATTAAATACAGCAAAAACGGTGCACAATAGTGCCATATTTGTAATGAACTGAGAATAGAAACAGAATAAAACAAGTTTCGTTAAAATCGGGCCACGGTTTACCCAGTTAGCCCCGTTTTTTGGGTCACTTTTATGAAAATTTCTAGATGAATTTAGGTACACTAGATGGCGCCACATATCGGTTTATCTATCTATCCATTCGTTTTCCACCTGATGACTCACTTTAAAATATCTTCTATACAACAATATATGCACAACAG